CAGAAAACTTGTACTGCTGCCCATATGTTTGAGAGTGAAGTGGGACCCCGTTTTGCATCTGGAGCCACAGTTTAAGCTGAATTATCAGAATGAGAATATAGATTGGGTCCCCCCATATGTGACCCCTCTAGTCACTCATGTTTTCTCTCTCTCTGCAGGTCCAGCTGTCAGGATGCTCCCTCAGCTCTTCGTGCAGGTTTCTGTCCTGCTCGTGTGTGATGCCGTCTTCCTCTCCTTTCTAAATGGGTGGTGGCCCTCCCTGGCCCTCCTGGGGGCCCTGGCTGCATGGGTGGAAGCCACCCTGCGCCTACTGTTTCTTGGGGGACTTGGGGGGCTTCTCCCTCTGGGCCAACCCTCCCAGGCCCTCCTTGTGACAATGGCCACTGTAGTCCTGCTGGCCCCCTTCAACCAGGCGGTGGGGCACTGGTTGGGAGACCCCCCTCTCATGCTCTCTTCAGCCCCTTGGTCCTGGATGCTGGTGGGCTATGCGGTGGGGGGCCTGGCCCTTCTGATTTGGGAGATCCTGGGTCAAGGGGCCTCCACGGAGAAGGGCAAGGAAGGGGACAAGGCTGCCTTCTGGAAAGTGGTGAAGCTCTTCCGTCCGGATGCTCTGTACCTGGCGGGGGCCTTTTTCTTCCTCACCATGGCGGTCGTGGGTGAGTATCAGATACAGAGGGAGACACAGCATCGGGCTCTCAGTATCCACTGGTGTTTGGTTCCAGGGCTCCCTCGTGGATATCAAAAACCATGGATGATCAAGTCTCATTGTAGAAGATAGTGTAGTCAAATGGTGTCCCTTATATATAAAACTGCAAAATCAAGTTGTTGTTATAATTATTTTTATTTATACCCCATTTTTTCTCTCCACAAAGGAGACTCAGAGTTTGCTTTTTTGAAAGCTGTGGATAGTTGAATCTGTGGATACAGTTGTCCAACTGTATTTTAGAAAGCCATCTGTCCACACAGATAAAATTGGGTGTAAGCCTAGCACACAATTTGAGTTAATTAAGTGGATGGCCATCTGTCAGGGTTTGTTGTTGTTCATTTGTTCAGTCGTCTCCGACTCTTCGTGACCTCATGGACCAGCCCACGCCAGAGCTCCCTGTCGGCCGTCACCACCCCCAGCTCCTTCAAGGTCAGTCCAGTCACTTCAAGGATGCCATCCATCCCTCTTGCCCTTGGTCGGCCCCTCTTCCTTTTGCCTTCCACTTTCCCCAGCATCATTGTCTTCTCTAGGCTCTGCTGTCTCCTCATGATGTGGCCAAAGTACTTCAACTTTGTCTCTAGTATCTTTCCCTCCAGTGAGCAGTCGGGCTTTATTTCCTGGAGGATGGACTGGTTGGATCTTCTCGCAGTCCAAGGCACTCTCAGCACTTTCCTCCAACACCACAGTTCGAAAGCATCGATCTTCCTTCGCTCAGCCTTCCCTAAGGTCCAGCTCTCACATCCGTAGGTTACTACAGGGAATACCATGGCTTTGACTAGGCGGATCTTTGTTGCCAGTGTGATGTCTCTACTCTTTACTATTTTATCGAGATTGGACATTGCTCTCCTCCCAAGATGTCAGGGGTACTTTTTGCTTTTCCTGCTTGGCAGGGGGTTGGACTAGATGGCCCATGTGGTCTCTTCCAACTTTATGATTCTAAAAGTCTTAGTCAGTGTTTCTCAATCTTCCTAATGCCATAACCCCTTAACACAATTCGTCATATTATGGTGACCCCCAACCAAAACATTATTTTCATTGCTACTTCATAACTGTAATTTTGCCATTGTTATGAATCATAATGTGAATATCTGATATGCATGATGTATTTCCATTCATTGAACCAAAATTGACACAAATACCCGATATGCTCAAATTTGAATACTGGTGGGGTTGTGTGTGGATTGATTTTGTATTTTGGGAGTTGTAGTTGCTGAGATTTATCGTTAACCTACGATCAAAGAGCATTCTGAACTCCACCAATGATGAAATTGAACCAAACCTGGCACACAGAACTCCCATGACCAACAGAAAATACTGGGAGAGTTTTATGGGCATTGACCTTGAGTTTGGGAGTTGTAGTTCACCTATATCCAGAGAGCACTGTGGACTCAAACAATGATGGATTTGGACCAAACTTGGCACGGATGCTCAATAATGTGAACACTAGTGGAGTTTGGGGAAAAGAGACTTGACATTTGGGAGTTGTAATTCCTGGGATTTATAGTTCACCTCCAATCAAAGTGCATTCTGAACCCCACCAATGATAAAATTGGGCCAAACTTCGCACACAGAACCCCCATGACCAACAAAAAATACTGTGTTTTCTGATGGTCTTTGGTGACCCCTCTGACACTCCCTCCCAAGGTCCTGATCTCCAGGTTGAGAAACACTGTTCTAAGTGGACCCACCAGACCATCCAGAAAATCTTTTTTTGAGCTATTTTCATTCATATATGTCTGCAGATGCATGAAAATAACACAACATTCACCTGTTTCCCTGTGTCTTTTGTCCTAGCTATAAATCTCTGCATTTGTTGCGTCTTTAAGCTGTTTCTGAATTAGGGTGACTCCGATCCCAGGGTTTTCTTGGCCAATTTATTCAGAGGAGGTTGGCTTTTGCCATTCTGTGAGGCTGAAAAAATGAGACTTGCTTGATGTCACACAATGGGTTTTCATGGCTGAGCAGGGATATAAACTCTTGTCCCTCAAAATCAGATTACTGGGCTTTGGTTAGCAAACAAGTTTTCTTGACCATCTTATTCCAGAGGAGCTTAGCCATTGCTTTTCTCTGAGGTTGAGACAGTGGAGTTGTCTAATGTCAAACCATGTCTTCTTGTGACCAAGTAGGAATTCTCGTGGACAACAAGTTAAACATGAGCCAACAATGTGATGTGGTGGCAAAAAAAGCCAATGGGATTTTGGCCTGCATCAAGAGGAGCATAGTGTCTAGATCTAGGGAAGTCATGCTATGCTTCTATTCTGCTTTGGTTAGACCACACCTGGAATATTGTGTCCAATTCTGGGCACCACAATTCAAGGAGATATTGACAAGCTGGAATGTGTCCAGAGGAGAGGGACTAAAATGATCAAGGGTCTGGAGAACAAGCCCTATGAGGAGCGGCTTAAAGAGCTGGGCATGTTTAGCCTGAAGAAGAGAAGGCTGAGAGGAGACATGATAGCCATGTATAAGTATCTGAGAGGAAATCATAGGGAGGAGGGAACAAGCTTGTTTTCTGCTGCCCTGGAGACTAGGACGCGGAACAATGGCTTCAAACTACAAGAGAGGAGATTCCATCTGAACATGAGGAAGAACTTCCTGACTGTGAGAGCCATTCAGCAGTGGAACTCTCTGCCCCGGAGTGTGGTGGAGGCTCCTTCTTTGGAAGCTTTGAAACAGAGGCTGGATGGCCATCTGTCAGGGGTGATTTGAATGCAATATTCCTGCTTCTTGGCAGAATGGGGTTGGACTGGATGGCCCATGAGGTCTCTTCCAACTCTATGATTCTATGAAACCTTGGACCCCTAAAATCAAACCCCAATTGACTGGGCTTCATCTACCAACCAGGTTTCATGGAAGCAGAAAAACTTTTTTAATTGAGATGTTTTATTCTTTCAAAATTTATGCAAGTTTTCCCCAATGCTTACATGCTTTTAATTGTTTTTGCATTTTCATTGTAATTTTTTAAAAATTGTTTTGGAAGCTGCATTGAGTCCAACTCCATGAGAAAGGTGGCATACAAATGCAATTGATCGGTCAATCAATCAGTCAAGGCAGACTTTCTTCTGATCTACCTGTGCAGGTGAAACTCTTATTCCGTACTATACTGGACGCCTGATTGACATCTTGAACACCAAATATGACTCAGATGCTTTCTCCTTGGCCATCCTCTCTGTCTGCCTGGTGTCCCTTGGCAGGTGAGTTTCTTCCTCAGCCTTCATTACCATCAGCGTAGGCTGGGTTTAAGTCACCCTGAAGTAGCTCTGCATTCTTGTGAATGCCTATGGGTACAATTAAAACTTGTGCGTCAGCTGTGCCCATACCTTGGGAAGCCTGATCTGGCCACGGTGGTCCACGCTTTGGTTACATCTCAAATAGATTACTGCAACGCACTCTACGTGGGGCTGACTTTGAAGACTGCTCGGAAACTTCAACTAGTCCAACAGGCAGAGAGCTAGACTACTCATTGGAGCGTCATACAGAGAGCATACCACCCCTTTGTTATGTCAGCTCCACTGGCTGCCGGTCCAATTCCGAGCACAATTCAAAGTGCTGGTTTTGACCTATAAAGCTCTATACAGTTCCAGCCCAGCTTACCTATCCAAATGTATCTCCCTCTACGTTCCACCTCAAAATTTAAGATCTTCTGGGGAGGCCCTGCTCTCGCCCCCTCCTGTGGATACCAAAATCCATGGATGCTGATTGTGCAGGTACAACTGCACCAGGAGCTCCAATTTTGTTTGCTTTGCATTGAATGTTTGTTATAGTCCTAAGTTTCAGGGACATTGCAGATAGGTGGCTTCTTTTGGCTGCAATCATAGGGCAAGCCACCTGTCAATTATAGTTATGTTCCCTGGTCCCGCCCCTTTTTGGGGTTTTGGAGGGAATAGGAGCCTTTTTGGGTTCAGTCCACACAGAGAAGCCTTCCATGCAGGACATAATATCAAGAGCTCCTGTAGAAAGCTTGTCTTCTATGGCTTGGCCAGGGAGATATACAGCCCACAGCTTGACCGGGGTTATACAGCCTTACAGCTCCTTTGCTGAAGGACTTCAGTCAGCCATCACTGAAACCTGAACTCCTTTTTCCCCTGGAAGTCTACAAAGCTCTGCTTGGTAAGGGTCACTCGCGGAAGCCAGAAGCAGTTGGTACCAGGTGCAGGGGCTCCACGCCAACAGAGGCAAAGACAGACTGCCCAGATTAGAAGTTAAGGATTTCCCTATTAGCTAAAATACAGTTTATGAAGATAGTGCCTGTTCCCTGTGGACAAGATTGAGAGAGAGCCAATAGACTGTTAAGAAAGCCTTAAAGTACCTGTTTGTTTTCATTAATAAAGAACATTGTTGAACCTTTAAGCAATCTAAAGACTCTGTTTTAAGGAAATCCAAGGCCTTTAATCTGAGGCAGCCCCGGCGTCCCGTTGGGCACATGGAATTTATGTCCTGTCTACAGTCTTATGCACAGGCCCAGCATGTGGGGGAAAGGGACAGGGCCTTCTCAGTGGTGGCCCCCTGCCTGTGGAACTCGCTCCCCAGAGAAATCAGGTCAACAATGTCCCTCCTCACCTTCAGGAGGAAATTGAAAATGTGGTTATGGGACCAGGCCTTTGGGTAGCTGGCAGATAATTGACAACGGTAATAATGATAATGTTATGGAAAATGGACCATGGACAGGCTTCCGATTGTGTTGTGCTCACTGAACTTGTTTCTACATAAGGCTAGACGGCCAGTTTTATTGCACTTTTCATTAATGTACTTTTTATATTAAAAACTAATTTTGTAATCAATTTATTGTGTATTACTGTATGTATTATTTATATGTAATGGCATCGAATTGTGCCGGATGTAAGCCACCCTGAGCCCCCGCTCCCCAGGGGAACAAATGTTTGAAATAAATAAATAAATATTCTGTTGGTGATAGAAACCGGGATTAACATCTTGTCATGCCTGATGTTGTCCAAGGCGATGTCTTGTAGTGCTGTTTGTTGTTGTTGTTGTTGTTATTGTGTGCCATCTAGTTGTTTCCAACTTAAGGTAACCTGAAGATGATCCTATCACAGGGTTTCTAGGACGGAGAGTGTGGATTTGCATTCCTGAATGACGAATCGAACCTTAGTCTCTAGAGTCATATACCATAATCTGACACACAAACTTTCTGTTTGTCTTGTACCAGCTTGTCTAATAATTTTGTGCTGACATGCAGCGACAGACAGGCCTTTGCTTTTGGCCAGTTTTTTTGTGCGTCAGAAGCAACTTGAGAAACTGCAAGTCACTTCTGTTGCGAGAGAATTGGCCATCTGCAAAGATGTTACCCAGAGGACGCCTGGATGTGTTGCCATCCTGTGGGAGGCTTCTCTCATGTCCCTGCATGAGAAGCTGGAGCTGACAGATGGGAGCTCACCTCATCTGGTAGATTCAAATCACTGACCTTCAGGTCAGCAGTTCAGCCGTCACAAAGGTCTAACCCATTGCACCATCGCAGCTCTATAGCCACTGATTTGCCATAGGAGTTCCAGTTTCCAGAAGAGGAGGAGGAAATATCCTAATGCTGGAGGGCATTAGGTTCTCACCACCTTTGTCCTCAGGTGGTGAGAAACTTGGAGTTCAGCATCAGGACTCCCTCCTCTCAGGACTATCCTGCTGCCTTTGGCAAAGTCATTATGGAAGGAGATCCAAGATATTTCCATGCACAAAGTCCACAAAATAACATGAACTGGTTAAGCTGTGTTGATGAAGGTGTTGTGGTGTAGAGCGTGCTCAAGTTGAACACTCTTCTGATCCACATTACTTGAGGGCTGAAAACAGCCACCTCTCTCACTATTACTTTGTTGTAGATCTGACTTCTCTTTCTCTCTGCATCTCTGATGCTTCCATTCTAGTTCTCTGTCTGCCGGCTGCCGTGGGGGACTGTTCACGTTCACTATCTCTCGGATGGTTGTCCGGGTGCGCCAACTCCTCTTCTCTTCCTTGATGAGGCAGGATGTGGCTTTCTTCCAGGAGCTGAAAACAGGTGAGAAGGCTCAGAATTGAGAGACGCTCCCTTCAAATTGTGGCTTTTCTGGATTGCCTTAAATGTCTCTGTTTGGAGGTCTAGGGCAGTTCTTGTACTGTGTTTTTGGGAGCCCCAGACCAGTAGGCAGAGAATGAAGGGAAGTAGAAGATGGACCCTTTGGTTATCATCCCCAAAACACTGCTCCTCCCAGTTCAACAGTCTTTCCCAAATGACAGTGTGCTTGGTTGTTGTAGGTTTTTTCGGGCTATATGGCCATGGTCTAGAGGCATTCTCTCCTGACGTTTCGCCTGCATCTATGGCAAGCATCCTCAGAGGTAGTGAGGTCTGTTGGAACTAGGAAAAAGGGTTTATATATCTGTGGAATGACCAGGGTGGGACAAAGGACGCTTGTCTGCTGGAGCTAGGTGTGAATGTTTCATCTGACCACCTTGATTAGCATTTGATTGCCTGGCAGTGCCTGGAGCAATCTTTTGTTGAGAGGTGATTAGATGTCCTTGTTTGTTTCCTCTCTGTTGTTGTGCTTTTTGAGTTTTTTAATACTGGTAGCCAGATTTTGTTCATCTTCATGGTTTCCTCCTTTCTGTTGAAATTGTCCACATGCTTGTGGATTTCATGGCTTCTCTGTGTAGTCTGACATGGTGGTTGTGAGAGTGGTCCAGCACTTCTGTGTTCTCAAATAATATGCTGTGTCCAGGTTGGTTCATCAGGTGCTCTGCTATGGCTGATTTCTCTGGTTGAAGTAGTCTGCAGTGCCTTTCATGTTTCTTGATTTGTGTTTGGGCGCTGCGTTTGGTGGTCCCTATGTAGACTTGTCCACAGCTTAATCAAGGTGGTCAGTTGAAACATTCACACCTAGCTCCAGCAGACAAGAGTCTCACCCTGGTCATTCCACAGATATATAAACCCTTTTTCCTAGTTCCAACAGACCTCACTACCTCTGAGGATGCTTGCCATAGATGCAGGCGAAACGTCAGGAGAGAATGCCTCTAGACCATGGCCATATAGCCCGAAAAAACCTACAACAACCCAGTGATTCCGGCCATGAAAGCCTTCGACAATACATTAAATTTTAATATAACAACCCAGTTATTCCGGCCATGAAAGCCTTCGAAAATACATTGACAGTGTGCTTGCTGCCAGAAAGTCCTGCTTCCCCATTGTATTCCCATCTTGCCAATACTGCCTTGTTTTTTTTCTCCAGGGGACTTGACCTCCCGCCTCTCCAAGGACACAACCATGATGAGCTACTCAGTGCCCCTCAATGCCAACATCTTGCTCCGCAGCCTGATCAAGGTAGTCGGGCTCTACGGGTTCATGCTCAGTGTCTCCTGTCGCCTGACCCTGCTGTCACTCATCGAGACACCGATTATGCTGGCGACACAGAAGTTCTATGACAGACGTCACCAGGTATTTATTTATTTACACTATTTATATTCCGCCCTTCTCACCCCGCAGGGGACTCAGGGTGGATTACAATGTACATATATATGGCAATTCAATGCCATAGACACACAACATATATAGACAGACACAGAGGCTATTTAACATTCCAGCTTTTTCATGAGGGTATTCTGGCCATCAGGGGAGCTGTCGCTTCACCGTCCATTTGTGACACTGATGAAGTACTTCCTCATTCTTTGCATGCTTGCTGGAGATTTTTATGGTCTTGTAAATTAGTTAAATTTGCCTCCCCGCATAAGCGGTACCTAAATTTCCTACTTGACAGATGCAACTGTCTTTCGGGCTGCAAAGGTCGACAGCAAGCTAGACAAATGGGTCAGAAGCTCACTCCGACCTGGGCTGGCTTCGAACTCATGACCTTTCAGTCAGTAGTGATCTTAATGTAGCTGACTCCCAGCCAGTTGCCCCACAGTCCCGGTTCATGGCCAAGATGTGTGTGTGCTTCCATACAGATGTGTGTCCTCCTTTTGAAATCACCATCACAAGTTATGCATGTTCAGCCTGCTGTGGGTGACATGACCGCCCCCATTGGATTATGGTTGGAATGTGACAAATGTCATATAATAGTACTGTGACGATGTGTAACTTTTATTCTTATGGTTATGTGTTGTTTAAACAGTAGTTAATAAATGGTAAGTATGTAGGATTATATTTTGTTAGAGATGGTGGCTGGTGGCTTGAGCTGAGTTGCCATAGCAACGGGGGCGGAGCCAACTGCCTCTTCACGGGGCAGCTGTTTGAAAGTGGCAGTCTGTAAGCCGGTGAGCTACAGGGAAGACTGATTTCTCTAATGAGAGTTGCCATAGCAATGGGGGCGGAGCCAACTGTCACTTCACGGGGCAGCTGTTTGAAAGTGGCAGTCTGTGACCGGTAGAGTTACAGGGAAGACTGAATCTCTGGGTGGAGATTCAGGGAATTAATTTGTGACCAAAGGGGTTACAGGAAAGGACCCGGTAGTGATAAAACTACAGGGGGTTATTGATTCTGGGTTAAGAATCAAGGTTTGGCTGGGAGCCAATTCTGTTGAATAGGCCTTTTGGCTTATTTGTTTTGTTGAGGACAGTTGTCCAGGAAAGATACATCTGCTTATAGAAACCTCTTAAAGTCTGTACCTAAAGTTACTCATGAAACCTTACTAATGTAACCTATCAAGATTTGTGCCTCTTGTGAAGAAACAATCGAATCTGTTATACCTTGCTTGTTCCAATAAAATTGTTACTGTTCTCCTCAAGCCTTGCCTGATACAGTTTCTCCTAAGTCAAACAGCCTGCATAAGTAGAAAAACCAAACCAGGGACATTAAACGCTACGCTATCAAATAAATAAATACTTCTGTAACTAATAGTCCCTTTATAAACCAGCTCATAAGCTGATATTGATCATTGCCCGGCTTTCCTCACACATTTGGTGGCAGTAGTTTTACCCTCCTTTACAAGTACCCATTCAAAATCATATTCAAAGAGTGTCAAAAATGGAATGTATCCCAATGTGAAAAGGTCCTGGTTCTCTCTTTTCCAAGCCTAATGTGCCCAGGTCCCTCAACCATTTTTGTTAAGCCTTGCTTTCCAGACCTTTGTTCAACTTGACCATCTTCCTCTGTACCAGCTTAACAATACTCTTTTTGAACTCTGGTGCTGCAAACGGCACACAATAGTCCAGGAGAGGGTTGGTCAAAGCTGAATCACTCTTTTGCCTTTTCCCTGCTTGTGCAGGCCTTGTTACTGGAGATCCAGGACTCCATTGCACGCTCCGGAGAAGTGGTCCGTGAGACAGTCTCTTCCATCGAGACAGTGCGCAGCTTTGCCACCGAGGAGGAAGAATCACAGCGCTATGATGCAGCATTAAAGGAAACCCATCGGCTCAAGAACCAGAGAGATCTGGAGAAAGCCATCTATTTACTCATACGACGGGTCAGTTTTTGGGGTCCTATCCAGAAGAGTGTGTGTATGTGTTTCTGTGTGTGTGTATGAGTGATAGAGTTCTCTAAGTTTCATTTCTTTAATTTTACAGGCTTTTCAAAAAATAATATTTTATATGCTTTAAATTAAAATATTATTTTTTGAAAAGCCTGTAAAATTAAAGAAATGAAACTTAGAGAACTCTTCAATTAATTTTAAATTATACCCGTGTTTTAATTGGATTGTTTGTTTTATATTTTTCAGCCTTTTGCATTCCGAATGCAATATTCCTGCATCTTGGCAGAAGGGGGTTGGACTGGATGGCCCATGAGGTCTCTTCCAACTCTTTGATTCTATGATTCTATGATTATTATTGTTATTGGGTTGCTGAAAGTTTTTTGGGCTGCATGGCTGTATTCCAGGAGCATTCTCTCCTGATGCTTCACCTGCATCTATGGCAGGCATCCTCAGAGGTTGTGAGGCCTGACCTTATAACTTCTGAGGATGCCTACCATAAATGCAGGTGAAACATCAGGAGAGAATGCTTCTGGAACATGGCCATACATCCTGAAAAACTTGCAGCAACCCAGTGATCCTAACCTTCGACAATACATTGTTGTTGTTATGTTTTGATTTAGCTTGTATTGTAAACTACCTTTTGTCCCAGCATTCCTTCTGCCCACAAAAAGCGTATGGCATAATGGTGGTTCCTTTTTGGTGCACTTTATAAGTTTCACAGCCACCTTTACTACAGTGGGACAACTCTTATACTAAACTGCAAGGTCAGCCAGCTTGCCAGACAGACTAGGCACATGACAATTAATTACCTCTTGCCCTACCCTCACTAATAATAATAATAATAATAATAATAATAATAATAATAATAATAACACTTTATTTGTACCCCGCTACCATCTCCCCAAGGGACTCGGTGCGGCTTACATGAGGCCAAGCCCACAATACATCAATAAACAGAACATCAATAAAATAAAACATCAATAGACAATCAACAGTAACACACAAGCATTTAAAACCAATGGCCGGGCCAAATGTAATAGATTAAAATTAAAAATAATGCTGATATGAACAAGGTAGGATATAATTGGGATAGGATTTTCAGAGAGAATGAAGGAACATAGTCAATCCTAAAGCAGTAGTAAAGTGCATTGTGAGGACATAATGCTGAGAGTTTTCCTTATTCTGGGAAGGCACACTGGAACAACCACGTTTTCAGGCTCCTCCTAAAGACTGCCAGTTGGGGCATGTCTGATGTCTTTAGGGAGTGAATTCCAGAGTCGAAGGGCCACCACTGAGAAGGCCCTCTCCCTCGTCCCCACCAATCGTGCGATGCAGGTGGGAGCGTGAGCAGGACCTCTCCAGATGATCAAAGAGATCGTGTGGGTTCGTATACAGAAATGCAGTCATGCAGGTAGGCTGGTCCCAAACAGTTCAGGGCTTTGTAGGTAAGAACCTGCACCTTGAATTGGGACCGGAAAATGAACGGCAGACAGTGGAACTCCTTAAACAGGAGGGTTGACCGCTCCCTGTAAGTTGCCCCAGTTAGTAACGTGGCTGCCGCCCGTTGTACCAATTGAAATTTCCGGGACGTTTGCAAGGGCAGCCCCACATAGAGTGCATTACCGTAGTTCAGGTGGAGGTGACTAAGGCATATTCCAATGAAATATAAAAATGCGGAAACTTTTTGAAGATCCCCTGTAGGCAGGATATAAATAAATAAGTTCTTAGAATAGATCACTTTTTTCCAAAGCAGTAATGTTTCCAGGCTCTGGTTAGCAGAGTCTGAAATCTCATTAATCAATGCCATTTCTCTTTTCCGCTCTCTCTCCATTAGTTACTTGGTCTGGGCCTGAAGCTGTTACTCCTTTACTTCGGATACCAACAGATCCTCACTGGCCTTGTAACCAAAGGGAACCTGGTTTCCTTCATCCTGTACCAGATGGAAGTGGGGGGATATGTGCAGGTATGGACAGATAGATCCATCCATTTGGGTTTCTCTGTTTTCCCAATCTTTAATTGGCTTGGCCCCATTTTTGTATCACACCTTTCCCCCCTCCTCATGGCTGAATACAACATCATTCATCATCATCTTTGTTAGAAGTGTTGTTGAACCACCTTTGCTTGGTGTGGTTCCCTGGCTTTTAAGGTGGATTGGTAGTGGACGGGGGTATTGGTTTAGAAGATAGATCATAGTGCTGTCTCCTTAGTTTAGCCCTGTTTTTTCTTCCTCCTTTTTCAGACCCTGATGTATATATATGGAGATGCCCTTAGCAATGTGGGGGCTGCTAAAAAGGTGTTTGAATACCTTCGCCGGGAGCCGTCAGTTCATACAGAGGGGACGTTGGCTCCAGAGGTCCTCCGAGGGCACGTCTCGTTCAAGAACATTTCTTTTTCCTATCCCTCTCGCCCTGACGTCCAAGTTTTAAAGGTAATGTTTTTAATTGGGTATATAGCCACTGATGTACTGGCACAAATCAGTTCCAGGGTTTTTCCTTCATTTTCTTCATTCCCTGTTGTTGTGGTAGTGGCTGGATGTCTGGAGCGCTCTGCATCCATCACACCTGTACAGCCATTTTGGAACATTTCAATCCACTCACAGATGCCTCTATGAGAGGGAATTTTATTCCCATACCGAGATGAATTTGTTCCCCCAGCACACCTTCTGTCCACAAAAAGTATATGACTTTTTGGTGCACATTGTACCTTTCACAGCCATCTTCACCATAGTGGGACAATAGGCTTGGGCGGTTTCGTTCGTTAATTTCGTAATTCGTTATTAATTCGTATTTAAATTAGCTTACGATCCAATATTGAGCCATTCGTTATTGTTTCGTTATTATTTCGAAATTATTTCGTAATTTTTTTGTAATTATTTCATAATTATTTTCGCATGTCTGGTGCAAGTTTTATAGTTGTTGTTTGTTTTATCACACCAACAGTCAACAACAGAGGGAGAGGGAAGCTTCAGAAGTTCCCCCTGTCCCATTTGGAGGTTTTTTTAGCATATTGCGCAATCTCGTCCGCCATTAACGAATCGATTCGTAATTTTACGAAATTTCATAAATTTTGAATTTTTTTAAAGGAACATTTCGGAATTATTTTAAAAAAAAAGAAACGCAAGGGCCACCTAAAAACGAAACGAGTTTAGAACCAAATTTTTCTGTGGTTACCCAAGCCTAATATTTATACATGGTCAGCCAGCTTGCCAGACAGACTAGACACATTTCATTCTCAGACACAATTAATTACTTCTCCCACCATCACTATTTTCAACCAAATACAAAAGTGTGGGATTGTTGAGATTAACTTTGTAATTCAGCATCAGATCAGTTGCACAACTTCAGCGCTTTCCAGTAGCTTCTTCCTGCACAGTATTTTCAGTCAACTGCTTCCACAGCCTGCAGTCACTCTGGAACCTTTTACAGACACTTGAGCACATGCCCGGCCATTGTCAGTTTTACCATTGTCTTTCCCCCAGTCTAGATGATATTACAAACTTACCACAGCATACAGTTATATCTTGTCTTAGCAGACAGGTTCTTTAATTACATATAGCCTTCGACGAACAACATCACAGCACAAGGAGAGAAATACACACTGTACATGACTTCCTTATCTACAATTCTATACAATTACACATAACAATCTCTGATTGGTCCCCAACTCATTAACTTAACTCAGACCCAGGATTACATCATTCACAATCACCTGGACTAGGCCAGAACACATTCCCCAAATGATTCCCTATATACAGTTAATGCATGACTCAGCATTTCCAATAGAAGCCCATTAGCAGTGCATGACTCAGCTATAACACACTACAATACATTGTAAAACCTGACAGGGATTTTCCCCTGTAGAAATTTTTTTGTGCCAAAAAGAATGTATTATATTTTCCTCCCTCCTCCAATTAATTCCAGGCAGTATATTATGCACTTTTCTCTCTGGCTCCTCCCACTTTACCTTCACAAACTGCCATCATCGTTCCCCTGCAGAATGTCTCCTTTGAGCTCCGTCCTGGGGAGGTGACCGCACTGGTGGGACTGAATGGCAGCGGGAAGAGCACCTGCGTGGCCCTCCTGGAACGGTTCTTTGAGTCCCAGTCGGGGGAAATCCTATTGGATGACGTCCCAATCCAGGAGTATGAACACAAATATCTACACCGACAGGTAATGTACTGCATGCCTCTTGGTCTACTCCTCATCTTAAATCCAAGTGGGGAAAGTGTGATTCTTGAGGCACGTGAAACCCATTGGCTGTGACTGCTGAAGAAGAAGGATAGGGAGCATTTTTCTTGCGGTTTCCCACCCTTATGTGAAAGACTTGGTTTATTGAGTGCTAGGGGGAAAGTTGGGTATCATATGGTGAAATATGACTGAATGTTAGATATCACTGGTCAATGTACTTTAGTGCTTCAAATGTTAGGACTTTTTCTGGGTATATTTGACCTATTGACTCCAAAAATGGCACCCCTATCCACTCTATTGTTGAGATGCGGAACATATGCCATTTACCACTCCATCTGCTGGCCCATAGAAAACCGTAAGAGCTCTTTGCCCCACCCCAGCCATTCCACAGATATATAAACCCATTGTCCTAATTCCAGCAGACCTCACTACCTCTGAGGATGCTTGCCATAGATGCAGGCGAAACGTCAGGAGAAATGCCTCTAGAACATGGCCATATAGCCCGAAAAAACCCACAAGAACCTAGTGATTCCAGCCATGAAAGCCTCCGACAATGATTAGAATAATTTCTTTCACATCTCAATGTGGTCTATCCAATGCAATTTTCTGAATCAGTGTCCCAAATAATCCCAGGAAAAGGCCTAAAAACCAAGACACAAAACTATGATACACCCTGTTTTGGGTTTGGTGTTTAAGAGCTGAGTTAGCTTACTTCACTTCACTTTATTTCTTAATTAGTCGCTCTCCACCAAGGTGCTCCAAGCGACTTACAGTCTAAAATAGCATTTACACAATATAAAACATTCAACATAAAAACATTCAACAGTGACTATTTGGCAAATTAGATCTGATTACTTAAATGCACAAGCAAACAGCCAAGTCTTGAGTGCCTTTACAAAAGGTCGCAACTCCGACATTGTTCTAATGTATGGAGGCAATGAGTTCCACAAAATTGGAGCATAGGTCGAAAAAGCTCTACGCCTTGTAGCTTCCAGCTGTACCTCCCTAGGGCCCGGTATGTATAGGAGATTTTCCTGGGTGGATCGAGGTGACCACTGATGAAGAAAAGGAATGAAAAGCTTAGCCAAACAGTTAATATAAGCTGTTGAAAGAAAAGTCACTCCCCTTAGTCTTTCTGTTGATATAGAACTGGGAAATGGGAAACACCAGGAAACACCTTTTGTACAATGTATTGTCGAAGGCTTTCATGGCTGGAATCACTAGGTTGTTGTGAGTTTTTTCGGTCTATATGGCCATGTTCTAGAGGCATTTTCTCCTGACGTTTCGCCTGCATCTTTGGCAAGCATCCTCAGAGGTAATGAGGTCTGTTGGAAGTAGGGAAATGGGTTTATATATCTGTGGAATGACCAGGGTGAGACAAAGGACTTTTGTCTGCTGGGGAATGTTTCAGCTGATCAAATAGTATTTTGCCCCCCCCCTCCCCAAGCAATCACTGAAAAATAAAAGGTAGAAGGCTGAGGTGAATAAAAGAGTTAGCTTACAAACCAGAAGTATACTTACAACAGTATGTTCATCTAAAGAGCACCCCTCGGGGATTCATGCTATACACAAATGCGTATTTTGCCTATTGCTTTAGCCGCCCCTACATGTTTGCACTTTCACTTTTGGAAAATGTGAATCTCCATACCATTTGGGAAGTAGGATTCTTTCCTTTTTGGAAAACCACTGGTCAAATTACCTTTTGGAAATATATACAGCAGAGTGTCAGAGGCGTTCCCTTAGTTGCCCAAGAAACATCTGCTCTCCCTTAAAATATATTTGCCTTTAAATAACGCTATCAAGAGTCAAAATAAACAGTCTTCTTTAAAAGTAACAGAGTTGGTTTACTCACAAAACTTCATGTATACATCATACAGACACTTTGCTTATGAATCTAGTCCCAATAGGATTTTAAGTAGATTCTCTGTGTAGGTAACACAGGGCATCTTCCTTAGAATGAATAGTCCATAGTCCAAAGCTTCTCTGTTTTGAGAAGCTAATAAAGTATCTGTCTAGTATCTAAGCATACAGTTCCTGCATTGAAGTCTAAACTGAACTGTTCCTGCTTCTGATCCAAACGGTTTGTGCCGTCGCACCTGGGGGCTCAATAAAGGAGGGATGGACGTGGCATCTTTCCCCCAGGGGATTGCTTCTTGCCCTCCTTTAGGAAACTGGAACTCCCAAAAACCCAAAACGCTGTAAATAGCTCAAAATATGTTTTATTGATCACAAAGTCATTTCTTCAAAGCAATAAGCTGGAAAACTTTAGAGGGGTGAAGAAAACATACGTTACAGTCTCAATTAGTCCTGGGTCCAAGGGGTTTGAAGCTGAGAAGCCTCACCAAGTTTCCTCTTTCCTCAATGGCTGTGAATGCCGGAGCAAACCACAACCCCAGTTCAGATGGCCTATGTCTTGAAGATTCAGAATCTTCCTCTGGTGCCAAAAGAACCGGCTTGAAGGCGCCTGGGTCTCCTCAATAATTGTCCAGGACGATCTGGACATAAAGCATGAGTCCCAGGGGTAAAAAACCTCAGAACTGGTGCTAAGAGGTAACTTAAATCAGGGTCTTTAAGAAACAAGTCTCTTACTCATGTCCATATGGCAGGACCTCTGATGGCAGAATGAAGAAGGAAACCACTCCCCCTCTCCAGGAAGAGGTGGAGCCAAACAGTACTGATTGACAGCTACAAGCAACCAATCCATACAACTGTACACAAGCAATGTAAAAAGGGGGCAGGATTAAGCATGATACAACAGTTTAAATCTTACAACTAACAGTTCTATACATAGGTGGCGCCACTCGCGCCGTCACACAGTCACTGACTTCTAAAAGCATACAGATGGCTTCTACTATCTCTAAGAGTGTAATGGCTTCCAACAAACTAAAATGGAGTCTGAACATGTCTAGTTCCGATCACATGGTCTGCAGCCCCTCCCACAACAAAGAGGTTAGGTAAAATTGCAGACCAATGCACACATATACAATACAGTAAGCAATCTGAATTATATATAACAAATAACTAGTTGAGACTTGAGAAGGTTGCTATTTACAACATTCCCCGCGTGTTCTGCTCTTTCAACCAATGCTAATTCTTTTTTGGCAGTCTCCCACTTTCAATTGACTTGGTACCATCTAGTATTTAGTTTTGCATTTGTGTTTTTAAAAAACCCAGATTCCACTTTCCAATCAATTCTGTTTTCTGAGACTGGTCCAGTCCTTGGCCTGTCAGATACAGACTTCCTTTATTAATAAGTAATATAATCAATTTATATCATCCCCAGCCTCGGAAATTCAGCTCAAGGTGTTATTTATTTATTTTATTTATTTACAGCTTTTATATTCCACCCTTCTCACCCCGCAGGGGACTCAGGGCGGATTACAGTGTACACATATATGGCAAACATTCAATGCCAATTTTTGACATACAACATATACAGACATACACAGAGGCTATTTAACTTTTTCTGGCCGCCATTTTGGCTTTTTTGGCTTTGGCATTTTTGGTTTTCTGTTAAAGCCAAAAAACAAGCATACAACTAGTTAGGCCCACGGAACGTCACAAAGATGGCTAGAAATATGTGGAATGGGTACAGTCCACCTCTGCCACCACAGCTTTCCTCCACAGAGGATTTCCCCCCATAGGTCGAACAAAGCATTATTCCATTCCATGGTTGCTTCCTGTCTGCAGGTGGCACTTGTGGGTCAAGAGCCCACCCTCTTCTCTGGATCCATTCGGAACAATATTGCCTATGGGGTGGAGGACTGCAGCCTGGAGGACGTGACTGCTGCAGCTGAAGAAGCCAATGCCTTGGGATTTATCCGTGAGCTGGAAGGAGGGTTCGGTGCAGGTCTGTGTTATTTGTTACTTCTTATTGTGAAAAGCTCCTCAGAAAATCCAACCATCCTTGTCCCTAGCCCCACAGCCATACACTGTGAGTTTATACCAACCATTGAAACCCTCTGGGATAGTGAGGGATCGAGGAGAAATTAGAAAGTATACAATTAACCTGTGGCAGAGATGGCTTCTCTTAAGGGAGACATATGGAGACCTATTTACAACTAAGAAACCTCAAAAATCAAAGTAGAAAATAGAACCTCTTATTTAATGGTAAATGATCATATCTGTGCAGAAGAAGTAGTTTGGGCAGAAATAAAGGCAATACTTTCTTACTTACTTACTTAGGCGATCCCTCATGGCCAAATATGATTGCCTTCAAAGTGTAGGGTCTGGGCAGTGGGTTCGTAGTGACTGTAGAGACCTATTCTTGATTGGCATGTTCTTCCACAGTGAGGACATTGGTTTCTAGATGGAAGGTGGTCCCAACAAGGGTTGTCTTGACACACCTTCCTCTTGACACATTTCTCCCTTTCATCCTCTATTTGTGCACAGGGAGGATGGAGCAAGCTTGTTTTCTGCTTCCCTGGAGACTAGGACGTGGAACAATGGCTTCAAACTACAAGAGAGGAGATTCCATCTGAACATGAGGAAGAACTTCCTGACTGTGAGAGCCGTTCCGCAGTGGAACTCTCTGGAGTGTGGTGGAGGCTCCTTCTTTGGAAGCTTTGAAACAGAGGCTGGATGGCCATCTGTCAGGGGTGCTTTGAATGCAATATTCCTGCTTCTTGGCAGAATGGGGTTGGACTGGATGGCCCATGAGGTCTCTTCCAACTCTTTGATTCTATGATTCTATGATTCTATGGACGATGACTCTGGAGCTCAGCGTTCAAATCTTTTCTCAGTCATGGATACCTACTGGGCAAATCTCACTCTCAGCCTCAGAGGAAGGAAGAGGCAAATCTGTTCTGAATAAATCTTGCCAAGAATACTCCATGATATTTCCCTTGGGGTTATCTTTAGGTGCAGGGTAGGGCAGACTGACTGTCTTCTTCCAATCTGCCCTATTGCCTCTGCTCTTCAATTCCTTTCCTAAACAGAGAACCCAGGAATCCAAGTTCAGCTCCCATCATGACTTTCCTTTCTTGTGACGACTCTTCTGTGGGCAGACTTGACCTCCTTCCCCTTTCCTCTTTCTCTCTCCTTCCTTCCAGATGTTGGAGAGAAGGGAGGCCAGTTGTCCGCAGGGCAGAAGCAGCGCCTGGCCATTGCCCGGGCCCTGATCCGGAAGCCAAAGGTCTTGGTGCTGGATGAAGCCACAAGTGCCCTGGATGTGGAGAGTGAAGCTGCGGTGAGTATGCAGTGGAGTAGAGTGGGAGGACATTAGCCACAGGTTGACCATGGCTTAGCCATACAGAAAGCATTAGTCTGGGCTCCTCAAATATAGTCAGTTCTCCACATCCACAAATTTTACATCCCTGGAGTCAACCACCTACAGCTTGAGATAGATAGATAGATAGATAGATAGATAGATAGATAGATAGATAGATAGATAGATAGATAGATAGATAGATAGAGATAGACATAGACAGACAGACAGACAGATACAAAAGATAAACCTTATTTTTTTCCACTTTTGTAAGCAATACTGATTTACAGCCCTATTGCATAGAATGGAACTTGAGTATCCACGGATTTTGGTGTCAATGGGGTGTCCTTAACCTAAACTTCAGCAGACACTAAGTGACAACTGCACTTAATAATTTAACTCATAGTTGTACTTATATTTTAAAATTCATTTTCATTTGTAAATTCACTTGAGCTGCAGTTTTCATGAAAAGCTGAAGGCTGAATCAAGATAATGAAATTCAGTCTTAACCATGTTGTAAGCTACATTGAGCCCCATGTTAGCAAAAGGGAGGATTACAATAGTTATGATGAAGATGACAATAGCATCTGGAGTCCTGTTGTAGACTTACATATAAGTAGCCATCATAGCTACACTGTGACTCCTGACTCAGCCATCTCACCCACTTCCCCAGGAAGCAGCTGCTGCAGTTGATGAAGGTCCATTCTCTTATCACTTGGAAAGCAACTGATGTTGTTTCCACTTCCTTCTGTGAACAATCTCAGCTACTTGCAGTTCCCCTTCATCCAGAGATCACTTATGTTAGGTATGATGGGACCATCAATCGGCTACTTCCCAAGTAATAGGAGAATGGACCCTGGCCGATCACAGCAGCTGCTTCTCAGTAAGTGAATC